GAGCTCTTTAAAATAAATAAATAAAAAAAAAAGCCTTTCTTGACCACAAACAGGGCTTTTTCGAAAGAGAGCGTCCAGATTGCCAGGGTGCTCTCTTTTGAAAAAAATGGATCGCTTTTTTGAAAAAGTTGTGGCTGTCTAGATGATCTCTTTCAAAAGAAGTGTGTAGTCTAGACGTACCCCAACTCTACCCAAATTATGCTGCAAGTCCCTTCCTGCTCTTTAAGAATAACCATGTAATAACTCAGAGAGGTGAGAGTCATGGGACTACGTAATGCTGACGGAATTGTAATCAAAACAAAGTGTTCTCTTTCATCTAGCCACAAGTGGTGTGCAATGGTTAATCAGGTATAGCACCACAAAATTCCATGATTTTGAGGGGAAGGCCTGCAGGAGATTTTCCAGTGATGACTGCTCATCTTGAGGCAAATGGGAGAGGCAGCGGGCATGGCTTCTGAAACTTGTGGCTCGCCAGAGAAAGGTATTGCCGTCTCTCATTAATGCGCCTCAGCCTCTCCTTCAACTACTGGAACATTGCTACTCAGCTTGCACATTGCCATTGTGTAATGGAAATAAGGATGGTGAGGAGTGGGCATTAATGAGGCAGTGACACACCCCTGTGGATGTCTGGTGCAATCGGAGGGGGAACATGTTGCATACGCTTGCTGCATCTTGCCTCTGCATTTTCTCACCTGACAGTGTCTCGACCAGTGGTTTCCAGCTGTCAGGAGGAGCTATTGTGGACATGAGAAGAAGCATGCAGTAGCCAGATACGCTTCAGCAATTTTTTGCTGCTGCTGCTGCTAGCTCTTGTGTCTCATTCTGTCTCTTACAGCTCAAAGGACCCATTTTAACTTTTGATACAATCAGCTCTCCGAGGTGTCCTGAATACCTATAAGTGTTTGATGCCAGCACAGAAACTGGAAATTAACTAAAATATTAATATGAAAGAAAGTAACCACTTTTTTTCTATCTTAACTATTTTGAGGTATAGAGCAGGTGTTATTTTAAAAGTTGAATTCAACTTCCATTCTATTTCCTGTCTTTCAGTAGCTGATGAATGAATAGCACTATGTAAGACTTTTTGGTATCTGTGGTAGTAGTCCTTTCTAATTATGTCTGTCTGGTTAAATGTGAAATGTGGACGATGGCCAGGTTACTGTTGCAAAAGGAATCTTGAAATTCTTTATTTTGGGATATCTGAAATGTCAGACTTATAGATGACTTAATGTATTTAATGTTGAAATTGTCTTGGCTTTGGAATGACATTGCACACTAATGCAGACAAGGCTTTTTAGAAATATTAGGTGTAATTGTACTAACATTCAGTCAAAATCACCAGATATTTGTTGATCCCTTAACGAAGTATTTATGTGACCAAGTTTACCAAACTGCACTGCTTCCCCCTGCTGGAGACAGCTCTCTTCTTCCTGATGTCCTGGAGCACTTTCTTGTTAGCTGAAGCTTGTGGATTTACAGGTGAGATGTTTTGGAATCCAGCACAGAGAGATCAAACTTCTGTCAATCTCCTGTTTTCACTTACAATATTACATCTGTTTTAAGAGCACTTCATAAAAGATGCATGATTTTGGTGCTAAAATGTTTCACTTGCCTTACTGGTGAAAGTACACTGGAAAACAGCTTCTTGAAAATGTGGGCTCTTCTGATCAAAGTCTGTGTGTGTTAGAACTGTGCTTTAATCAAGAAATGTTTAATCTGGATTGCTAATTTAGTGCTGACTACAGTACCCACACTGATTGTCAAAGAAGCTGGCTTTCTGTTTTTAGTTACTATTTCAGACCCTAGCTCTAAAGCTTATATAATCCTACTTGAACCTCTTTGTCACCTCCTTTGTTATGTAACTTGAGATGCCTTAGCTTCCCATACAACTTAGTAATGGTTCCCAAAATCCCCAGCTGAACATAATGTGATTCAGTGTTCTGTATATCTTCTCTCTTGGATTGAAATCAAGGGTAGCTCTCCTCTTCTAATGAATCTTCTCTGAAAAGAAATCCAGTTTACTGCACTGAGTTACCTAAACCAAGGTATTAAAGTGGTCTCGGCTGTATGATACCAGCAGTGTGTTGAAATCATGCAGGTCATTTATGTATTATATTTTGTTGAAGGACATTTGGACAGCTCTAAAATTTGAATGTACTAGTTTTAAAGGAATGGTTGGTTACCAAAAGCATCAAATAAACTTCACTTTACTGCGAGTAATAAATCCTCAAGAACTAAAGAACAATGTGGTGCAAAGGTGGAAGGAATACATGCTGCCAGCGGGGGGGGGGTGATCTGCTAATCAGCTGGGCCTTTAAATCTCTCCTGGGTGGCGGCCCAAGTGCTCAGCTGACAGGGAACACTGATGTTTATACTTGACTTGAGATAATGAGCAGAGAACGTCATCATCCAGCTTTGTTTGTGTTTGTGAATCTGTTGGCAGGTGTGGTGGCGGTTCTCTTCTGTGGAATTACACAGGCTCATTATACGTACAACAATTTGTCAGTCGAGTCAAGGAGCCGAACGAAGCAGGTGAGACCTTGTTCTTCACTCACCAGGACTGTCCGTTTTACTATGTAATTCTTCAATTTGAATGTTTTTCTCCTCAGCTTTTTGAGGCACTGCACTTCCTGGCTGAAAACTTCATATTTTCATACATGGGTTTAGCCCTTTTTACTTTCCAGAAACACATATTCAGCCCAATTTTCATCATTGGAGCTTTTGTATCCTTTCTTGCTTTTCACCTTACAAATTATTTATTTTTGGTACCTGTAGACTTGTCAAGCCTTTTTTCTTCCCTTAGCCACTCATGTGTCTCCAAGAGATGATGATTTTTGATTTGCATTTTCCCACAATATGCTGCTGATGCAAGAATCTTTTGAAAACAACTTTAATCTTCCCTTGAAGAGCTAAGGACCTTGTGGCATGCAAGCCTCATGGCTCTCAGTATCGCCCTACCTTCAGTGGGTCCCTTATCCTGTGTTGGCTGTCAGGTGACTCCCAGTGCGGGTGGGACTTCAGCTGCTATGGTGGAGGGCTGAGACTCCAACTCACAACTCTGCCCTCCTCAGGCAAGTGCTGTATCTCCTACTCCACTCAAAAACTTACCCCACCTCCCTACCTTCAGGGGGTCCTTTGTCCTGCATCTGGTTGCTTCCAGGATGGGAGTTCTAAGAGCTATGCATTGTTGATGTATGTTCTCAGCAACACATGTGCTGGAGACAGCTTCCCTTCCTGAAGTTATAATAACAGAACTTAAAGCTTCAAATATTCAGGGTGGACAAGGTGTTTCAGAATTCAAGGATAAACGGGGAATACCCTATGTTATCTGCTCAAATCAGCATAGACTAATCAAGACGCTATCTTGAATTACTTAGGCCATGTCTACACTACACAATTAAATCAACCCCTGTTAGAGTAACTTACATCCACTACAATAATTACTGCGTTTTTTCACATCCATGCTACTTTCTTTTGGAATGTGTGCACGGATTTAAGAGAGGCATTACAAGGGTGGAGATTCTGGGCTCTCAGCTCAGCACCAAGCTTCTAGCTGCCTCCTGTGATTCCAGCACCCAGAGCTCCCAGGTGGAGCCTCTACAGTTGCTTCATTGTCCAACCTATGTTGATCTATGCCTTGTCCCTTTTGTCAAGTTGGATTTACTAGGTGAGCACAGCAGGTGAGTTATAGCAGCAGGAGGAACACTTGTGTGTATGCTTATATAGTTAATTTGATGTAAGCTGCCTCACACTGACTTAATTTTGTAGTGTAGATATGCCCTTAGACACTCCTTTGTATAAATCCGGGAAAGGAATTAGCTGAGGGCAAATAACTGAAAAACCCTGCAATGCCAAATTCCAAATAAGAGAATGCTAACTGTCTGTTAACAGCAATGGCTCAATAAAGCAGGATGATATTGTGGTTGTGGGTTTTTGTGATGTTGGGCTTTTAGCCAACCCAGGACCTCTCTAGCCTTAATTCGTCTCTGGTAAAACAGAAAATGGCTCAGTAAAGTGTACCTTCTCCAGGTTTTAAAACACAGGGAAGTATGTTGTATTGCCTGACATTATTACAGACACGAGTGGCCACACAGATCCAGATCAGTGGTCCATCAATGGCCAAAGCCCAAATACTTCAGAGGGCATGACTAGAACAGGTCATCCTCTATTGCCCATTCCCAGCATCTGACCAACAGCCAGAATTGACAGGAATGGTGTCCCTAAACTCTAGTAGCCATTGATGGGTCCATCCTCTATGAGTTTATCTCGTTCTTTAACTCTGTGGTAATTCCGGCCATCACAACAGGGGCAGGCAAAATACAGCCAGTAGGCCAGATCCAGCCTGCCAAATTGCTGGATCCAGCTGGTCGCCAACCCGTGGCCCATCAGGAGCCTCGATCAGGCTCCCTGCCTGCCATGTTTCCCCATGGTGTTCAAAGCAGCCGATTGCAGGGGCCATGAACTCCCTGTACACTGTGTGTTTGGGGGCGGGGGCTTAGTGCACTGCCCTCACCCCCAGAATAATCTTGCAGCTACCTGGGCGTACTTTCAGCACAGGCAGCTCATGGAGGTTCCCCTCCCCCGTGACATGTGGCATTGAGAGTTCATGCCTTCCCCCCCCAACCAGCTGCTGTGGGCAGGGAGCCTGCCTGAGGTAAACGACTCCCAGCAAGCATCTGCACCTGCCCCCTCCCCCAACCCTCTGTTCTCTTTCCTGCACCCTTGTCCTAGGTTACAATCCCCTCTCAGACCCGGCACCCCCCTCCTGCCATAGGTCACAGCCCCTTTTTATATCGCTCAGAAAAGTAGTGGAAATCAAAGAGGATTCCCTAGGCCTTTTTATTTTTCTGAATCAGTTTGTTGAGGAGAAAGGGACGGATGCGAAGGAGGAAAATACAGCCTCCTCCAAAGCTCTTTTTAATACACAATATGGTACACAAAAACCTCGTAGGTTGCTCATATGGTTAGTTCACCCAACAGGGAACCACTTGTGATTTGAATACAGTATGAAACAATTTATCAGAGAAGTTCTCCCTATTTTGGAGTGAGTTCTCCAAAGCCACAGGGTGACTGCTTTAATCTTTGCCTTATTGTTAACTTTTAAATCTTCTTTCTGCTTCAGATGTTATCCCTCATGTATTTTTAGTTTTTATTATAATTTTACAATCTAGACCATAGTGTATGCCCAGCTGTACCCTCAAATTCTCCAGAGCTGAGCATAAAATAAGAGGTAACAGTCAATAACTTAAGCCAGCATTTCCCAAACTATGGGCTGCGGCCCAGTACCGGGCTGCAGGAAAAAAAACCGGGCCTCAGCATGGCTGCCAGGGTGTTTCGGGCTTCCGGACTGCCTGTGCAGCGCCAGGTTCCCCAAGCCCCCAGCCGGGCTGGGCGGATGCAGCCGTATGTTTCAGGCTCCTGGCAGAGGTATAGTGAGGGTTACCAGGTGAGCTCTTATTGCTGGCCGTGGAGGGGGGAGGGGAAGCAGGGTCAGGACAATGGAGCTCCCCAAGGGAGATAGGGAGGGGAACTGGCCGGCAGAAGCAGGGCTGGCCAGGGGGACGGGAGCAATGGGGCTGGCCAGGGGAGATCACGGGGGGGGGGAGGGGGAAACCGGCTGGAAGAAGCAGGGCTGGCCGGGGGGGCAGGAGCAGTGGGGCTGACCAAGGAAGATCATGGGGGGGGGGGGAAGCGGGT